CGTGCAGCCTGTTTTTTCTCCAGGTGCTGAAAAGCAGATTTGTCCCCCTTATAAAACCTCCTTCTTCCCAAGAACTCCGGGGAATTAACCTGCGCTCACTAACAAAATACAAAAACAAGCTCACCTTCACCTTTCAGTAGAAGACATGAAACCATGTTTCAGTAGATATTTAGCACAGGTTTTTATGTGTTCTTTATTTTATTCCTCTTTTCATTTTTGGCCTTTGGAGACCTTGTGTGTGTTTTGCACTGGAGTCTGTGTCACGGTATGTTCTCTTGGCAGAGGAAGCTGACACACCTCGGTGTGCTTGTGTAGTTTGTGGATGGGTCAGAGCACGTCTAACATGCTGCATTTACTAAACAAACACAGCCCTAAAACTTAGCTAAATTATATTCTGTTCATTAGGACTGCGCGCTAATGACATTGCCGTGGGAAATGAGCTGTTGATTTCAATTAGCGTGCCTTATTTTGGTAAAGCCTCTCTCTTGTATTTGAAGTCAGTATTCTGGTGTAAGGCAGTGCCAAACAGAGTATGCGTATCTGTAGCCTGGAGGTTCATGTTTTAGCAGTAACTGTATTTTAGAGAAGCAGATTCTTTATTACCAGGGTTAAATCTAGTTCAGCTTGAGAGCTAAGTTGATTAACATCTCTTGTGTAAACCATCTGGACTAACATGTGTTCACTGAAGTCTCCACCAGCTGTAGTAAAACTTTGTTCTGACATCAGTAACAGATATGAGCCCTGCAGATATTTGTACCATTTATTTATGCAGTATTTCAAAAAAGTATCTGATGAAACCTAAATTATGTCCTGCTGTGATTTGCGTTAGTTCTGATTTATTCTCATCGGATTTTTTTAGGTTGTTCTTCTGAATGCTTTACATAGTTATGTGGTGTGGTGTAGTGTGGCTCAAATTAGGGTAAAAAATGTTGGACTAAAGTAAAGTGCTGTTCATAAATGATGTTTTGTAAGCTAAATGTACATGGAAAAATTCATTATTCATCACAATACAAAAACAAAAGTTGATCTGTGTATAAAAGATGGGACCCAACTTCAGCAGGGGCGAGCCCTGTGGTTGCCAAAAACTCAGATAAAAAATGGTTGTATGGCACTCCACAATGGGAATCTTAAAGTAAAAATCCCATTCATATTCTCCATAGGGATTTTGATTATGAGCCATAATGCTGTAGGCATTGAGAGTAGACTTTCAACGAGCTGTGACGCTAAAATGATGGTATGATATCAACCTTGTTTTAATAAAATCCTGTGTTATTCACGATGTCATGGAAAAGAAATTATTCTTCCCACAATCCTCAAAGACTGATGGATGGAGACCGTTGTTACTATGGAAGCGTTTAAACCACAAAATGTCAGGTCACTTGAAAACCCATGAGTAGTTACTTCACTGTTAAAAGTGAACAATCTTATACCTTTGGCTTTTCCATGTTCTGTTTTTTTGTGATGCAGATCAAATCTTTGTGTGTAGCTGCTTGGCTTGGTTCGGTTCAAGGCTTTAAACTCTTTATATAAGGATCTGATGAAATGGCAGTGGAGAAAGTGGATGGGAGGTTCACTTCCGAAACCGGACCTCTTTAAAAAAAAAAAAAAAAAAAATTTAAAATAGGTCTTTTGGGAAATTATCCTACTGCTGTTTTTTATTTTAAAAACTTCCACGTGAATTTATGCTTAAAATCGCCGGTTTCAGATTTGATTGAATACAGCGTGGCGTTCGGTTCGGAAATTATGGCTCTCTGAGGATGAAGCCAGCTATGAGCCTACCCGGTGATTGAAAAGTCACGACCCCACATAAAAGTGCAGTGTCCCTCGCTTTTTAAGTCAGGTCCACCCCTCACGTGTGAGGGTTTTAAAACACCAAGATGGTGACAGCCACTAAACACTGGGTGACGAAATTGTGGTGGTATTTTGTAGACTGTGGAGTGGAGAAAGATGTGCTATTGTGATCTTGTATACAGATACGAAGCACAAAACTCCATGTAGATCGCCACAGATCAAAGCTCCCAGTACAAAATCTGACCCTCTGATCTGATTGGATTTCCTTGATCTTGAGATACATTGTAACGGTCCAATCAGAAGAGAGATAGTGATGGGCGCTTTACCAGTTATGTTTCTGGCCTAATTGCTGCTGCAGGTCCCAAAAGGAGAAGTAGATTTACAAAACGCACTGTTGCATAGGGCCTTCAGCAACCAGAGGATTTTGAAAACGCACTACACTTTTCAGGAAATGGAACCAGCTGCTCTCTGATTGGACACTTTAAGCCCATACAGAAAACAATTTTGTGTAGATTTGTTTTACAAATTTTCAGATGTTTAATTACAACTACAAACTTTAGACCTATCTATGAGCATCACATTACATGATCAAACTCACTGCTTGCTAAATCCAAAGGATCTAGTGGACTGTTTCCTAACAGTGCATCTCTGCCGCAGTTTCCTTGCGTGTTGTGCGTTATGTCACACTGTTAAAATCAGCTCTGGTGTAAGAAAAGTTGTAAGGAAGAAGTGTCAACTTCATTTAAGCAAGCAAGCTCACAGTCCTCCTGACTTTGCCTTCTTGTGGACCAGAAGTCGAGCCGCACTGTTGAGTGTTAGGTACACCTGTGTGTGTGTGCTGGCCCTGCCGCTGCTTCTAGCCATCTTTCAATGGAAGGTTTTATCACACACCATACTTGGTATTTACTTTAAAGTGACAGATGTGTTGTTTCTGCCTCTTTGCTTTTATGGGTGTGCTTGTTTGCCGCTACCAAGTAAGAGATGAAGGTGCACTCAGAGCTGGCTGCAGTAGTGTAAACAGTGTGCTGCTGTGTCCATAATGAAACTCTGTGGAATGTATCCGGGCTTCTGTGTCCAGAGAGGAGACTCTGCTGTGAAACCCTGTCAACTGGCATTTTAACCACGTTAATCGTGTTTATCACGGTAGCGCTAAGGTGCTCCAAGTGGATCTGGTATTGCTCTGGCTCAGTTTCTGCTGTGTCTCCTCTCTGTCTGGGAAACCTTGCAGACCGAATTACCACTGTACTCATGGTACTTCGTGGTACTTCGGTATACCCAGCATGAGTTAGTCTCCACCTAAACTGTGGCAAGAAAACACACTTGTATATTTACAATTATAATTAAAGGACTAAATATAATGCAACATGCAGCATTAAAAAGTAGTCATGAGTCATGAGTAACCTGAGCAGAGCTTACGCTACCAGTGTGAAGGAGGGGCTGATTACAGCCCCTTATATACCTTTGTGATACCACTCCCATAGTTGGGCATGTCTGTGTTGATAAGAGCTCCGATTGCTTTCAACTTTCCTCAGTTCACCACATTGTGCACTCCTTCAGTTGCTCAGACCCTGGACACTTTTTCAGAGGATTGTCGTGATCTGTGTGAGTAGTGTTTCTACTTACTTAAGCTTTCTTACTTAAGCTTTCAGGCAGCTAGTTGGAGCTGGCATAGCAATGAAGGGGTGAACCTTACCCCCCGGCATTATTTTTAACCCCTCCTTCCCCTCTCTCGGTGATCCTCTCCCCCTCCTCGTCTCTCGTTCTGCTGCACTGATGGTAGAGTTAAGAAAGGCAGTTCCTGCCTGGCAAACGTTGTGTTTAGGTTGCCCTCTTCCTCCTCTGATTCTTTTCGTCTCTGCATTTGTGCCTCTTCACTTCCTTGCGTGTACTGTCTTTGCCTTTCTCAGAGGTATGTCTCATGTGCTGGTTACTTTAGCTATGGGTTTGACTGCTGACCCAGTGTTTAATTTTAGGAAGTGGTTAAGCTTGCTAACCTATGTTGAATACTCCCTAGCTATATGTCAGACTTTGCCATAGAAGGTTAGAGAGTGCTGTGCGCTCTTTAAATATTTTTTAGTCAGTGCTTTAGCGATACAGAATGAGACTTAATGCTGATCATTACAGTTTTGGTTATATACTTTAACTTTGTTAGTTTTACTGCTTTAGATTGGCAGCAGTTGTGCCTTTACCTGTAACACACTGGTATCCTGACAGTGTGTTTAAACTGTAATTATTTCGAGTTGCTTTATTCATGAAACACATCTTATTGGATCAAGTTTGTTCTTCAATTTAGGGTCTTATTTTTTAGGACTTGTGAAATTCTGCAAGAGAAACTAAACCCTGCTCTGGTGGGTGAGTATGCTAAAATAAGCCTGAGTATTCAGTAATACAGCCTGTGCTCTTCATTAAATCCCCTTTAATGTTATATGTCCTTCTACCTACTTGCTGGGACTGCTTAATTAGTAGTTGTTTTCTTGGCCTGCATTCCTCTGGGGAACCTGTCTGCGTTTAGATGGTAAATATGTCCGTGTGTATACCTGTGTGCAGATTTGACAGCAACCCTTTAAACCATTTCACAATTGCAGGCAGGAGAGGGTCAATAAGTAACGACAGGAGTGGTCATGACTCCTGTCATGACCACAAAAACCATCAACCATAAAAAGTTGCATGATTCAACTTTTACAACTCCACTCCCTCTGATGTCAGCGCTCTTGGGGGTTTTGACAGGTTGCGAAAGAAGCAGTAATTACTTGGTGTTCGTGTATGCAAGCAGCATATCATGAGTCGAATATTATTCACTAGAAGTTCATTGAAAGTACTGACTTTTCAGAAGTGCACCAACATGTCCGCTCAACATCGGTATAGGCCTTGTTTTATGCTTTTGGACTTTTAGCAGATTGGAGTGTTGGATAGATGGCGGTCGCTGACTTTTTCCCCCCCCTGTTCCATCACATTGGTTTTGTGCTGAATGCTCAAAGATCTTGTGATAGCGCGCTCTGATTTCTTTCTTTCCCATAGACAGTCATGAGAGCTATGGTGTTAGAGGTTAGTAATACATTTTTTTAAAATGGCAGCTATTAAAGCTCTCAAGGATACCTAATACATCAAAGTACAAGACCATAAATAATTGAACGACAAAAGTTAAAATTCAAGATAGGATATGGCATAACCAGATGCTAATCAATCTGTGCTTCTTTTTTTTTATGTAGATGCTTTGTTGGCGGACCTCGAGTCCACAACATCTCACATCTCGAAACACCCCCTTTTCCTGTCTGAAGAGGCCGCCTACTCTTTTCCTGTGCAGGGTCAGACCCAGCAAGACATCTGCTCTCCATCCCAAGTCCCACCTACTCCCTCAGACCAAGCTCTGAATGGAGTAGAAGAAATAGAGGTAAATGCATGCATGCTGTAAATGTTGGGGAATTAACCAAAGACGGTTTCGTTTCAAATGCTGCCTGATGAACTCATGGATGAGAAGTGAATTAGTTGCTGCATTGATCCTCTAAATTCACTATTGTTATTTTACTTCCTTATTTCAGTCTGTCGGCACAGCGCAGAGAAGTCCTTGGTCTAGAGATAGCAGCAGTCTAGGCCAATCCACTGGTGGAGAGGACCACGTGTACAGGTTAGAGGTCATGTTAAGTCTCAACGAAGCTCTTGAGACATCTTTCCAACAACAAAAACTCAGTACAGCTAAAAAATTTTTAGAATATGTTTCTGAGTAGAAACTAATAAGTAAAAACATTTGATCAGAAATAACCATTTCCACTTGAAACAAGATGTTGTTGATGATAAATGTTGTTTCATGTCTCTGCCCTGTTCAGTCTCCCTAATAAACATAAGAGCAGTGACTCATCAGCTGGTGCAATGAACTCACTGGGCAGCAACCTGTCTGAGCTGGACCGCCTGCTGTTGGAGCTCAACGCTGTGCAGCAAAGCACCCCTGCCTTCGCCACAGAAGGTACAATTATGAGGGAGCATTTCAGTTTATGAAATGCTCCCTCATGTTTTTCTGAAGGAATGTCGATGTCACCGTCTAACTATGGTACTTCTGTTTCTGTGGTATTACACAATGGTGTCATTCTTTCCACTGTATTCTGTTACTGTTTCAGTGTTTGCACTTCACACTATGTATGCATTTTAGATCTAAGCAGGATATGCATTCATCTTTGTTCTTTTTTTCTTTATGCCGTAGAGGAAGCTGCTCCACCGCTGCCTGGCAGCAGCATTGTCCACCACGTACAGGAGAATGGAGTCTCCACTGCAGGTAAAGCCACTGTGGTGGAGAAGCCCAAACGTAGTGGTCCCACTCGAGGAATCGAGGACGTTCGACCAAGTGTGGAGAGCCTTCTGAATGAATTGGAAAGCTCTGTCCCAGCACCACAGTAAGACCAAAAATTGTTACAGAAAAACTGGATTTGTACCACCGAGAAGTTTGTGCCCATGTATTTTATGCTGGCATGAACCACTTTTGTACTGTACGTGGTTTATATTTGTATTTATTTTTTAAAAATCCAGTCATTTTGGTTGACGGTGGTGTTTTCCTCACTAGTCCCACACCGTTGGTGGTGTCAGATGAGCAAACAGATGGACAAGAAACGCTGTCACAACAACAAGCCAGAATGTCTGCCTCCTCTGCCACACGAGAGCTGGATGAGCTAATGGCCTCCCTGTCTGACTTCAAAGTGCAAAGCAATGTGAGTGTGGTTCAGAAGTGGGTTGACTTTGGTTTGATTGAGGACAGTTATTTTTGGTATGTGTGGCTGTTTAGAATTTAGCTGTACTGGATGTTTTTGCATCTCTTAATTATAGAAAGTTGTTGTTTTTTTGTTGTTTTTTTGTTTTTTTTGCATTTGCCTGTTTTTAGGTCTTATTTTTATGAGCAGCATTTCTTCAACATTGCAGTGACCACGGTTTTTTTTTTATTTTAATTTGTTGTCAGTATTTGTGATGACATCATTCATTCGTGTTGAAACAACAATTTTTTTGTATTACAGTAACTTTCCAGGTTTTGCTTTGTGATGCTCTTTACTGTCCTTTCTCTTTCACTCTCATCTCATTCTTTATTTTCCTGGTCTCTTTCTCTTTTCTCTACCACTGTGTATGTCTTGTCTTTGTATGTACATTGCGCCCTTCACATAATTGCACCTGATTTAGTCTGGCTCTCAGGTGTCTGTCAATCAAGATGCAGTTGACCCATTATTAGTTGCTGGTTCACCGGTTATCCACCCAATAACTAACCCACCAATAACGCCTCAGATTGGTTCCCCTGATACTCCTCTACCCAATAGTTACACTGCTCCGTCCTGTACACCACTCCCGCTGGAACTCCACATAGATGAAGATGGTGGTTCAGCTCTTGCATCTTCACCTCTTTCTGCTGTAGTAATAGCATCATCTAAGAGCCTTCAGTACTCTCAGATCCAACAGAAGGCTGATGATGGCACTGTCACTTCTGAGATCTCACATGTTGAGAGCTTTAGTTTTTCCAGTACTGTAAAAACCTCCAGTGAAACTGAAGTTGACACCCCCACTCATATAATAACTAAAGAGTATGCTAGTCCAGGTGCTGCTGCCACGAGCTCCAAACCCGTGGTTGTTTCTAAAAGTCCTGTTACAGTCTCTAAAAGCCCGAGTCCCACTGTTAAAGGCAAGAGTCCCAGTCCTCCTGATGTTGAATGTAAAAGCCCGGTCCTTAAAAGTCTCAGTCTTGCTCCTGTAAGTCACAGTCCACAAACAGCAATACAGAGGGATAGCCCAGTTACCGTGCCAACCACCATGGAAACAGTGCCCAAGTCAGCTAGTCCATTAACACTTCTGAGACTTTCAAGTCCAAAGATTTCAAGTCCTGTAACAATTCCTAATATCTCTAGTTCTCCAGCTGTATCTAAAAGCTCCAGTCCTGAAACAGTCCCAAAAGATACTTGTCCTAAGAGTCCTGCTCCAGTTAGGGGGAAAACATACACATTTCCAAGCAGCAGCAGTCCCACAGGGTCTCCAGTTTCGGTCGCCACTGTGCCATCAAGTAGCTTGTATGCACCTCTTATAGAAAGTCAGGGAGGCGAAGTGCTGGGTTTAACGTGGCCATGCCGGAAGCCTTTTTTGGATGATACTTTAGAGAAACTCTTATCAACCGACTCCACTCGACTGGGTGAGAACCAGCCACCGACTGCTTTTGTGCCCGGGGAAGAAGACAGATCTTGGGAGGAGGAAGATGGATTTTATCCAGATCTCAGCCTAGAGGGAACCCTGACACCCATGACTGAGTCCAGCTGGATGGATGAGTGCTTTACCCCCTCCACCTGCCCTGGGACTCCAGATGCAACGCTGGACTTGCCCATACAGCAGCCCTCTGCTGTTGACCGTCTGTCTGCTTCTGGTCAAGTAGGAGGCTCAGCTTGACACTTCCAAAATAAGCTACTGGCATGAAGCTATAGAGGATTTAATACTTTGTGGCTCCCTTTTAATTGGCATGTGGCTAAGATATAAATTATATCTGGAAGTAATGGCAGCAGGGTTGTATTAATTGGTTGTTCAAGCAAAATGCTGAAAAGCTTATTTTGGGCAAGCAGCTCTACAAGTACTCGAGGAGCTGTGCAATAGTACAAACATGTCAAGATGAGGAGAAATTCCTCAGTCTCTGTGGTGTGATGCATGTGGTGTCATATAGCAATTTCAGAATGGCTTGAGGGAGAAGTCGCTGTGTGGAGATCAGTTGTGGCTGATGTTGAAAGCTTTGCTGAAAAGATGTCTCTGCACGCCCCCACTTGCTTCATTGACATTGCTGTGTTAGTCATAGCACCTGACATGTCATGTTCAAGCTTTTAATCACTGACACGGCCAATACGAAAAGACCCAGACTCCACAGTAAAAGGGATATTTTTTCCCTTCCCTTTTTTGCATTTGCAGATGAATTTAAAATGCACACTAGAGCTCTGTTGGTTTAATCTTTGGCCCTGCTTTGGCATGTGCAGAGTTTTATTTTATTTTGTTATAGACGGGTGTTTTCCATCAAGCATGCCTTGCCATGGATTTCCGGCAGGTTTTATGTTGATATTAAAGAATGAGCCTGTGCAGGAGGCTGATGCTCGGCTTCTGCAAACAAAATCAATTAAATATGCCTGACAGAAAAACTGCATAGCATTTTGACCCCAGCCGCTGCGTGTGGGTTTTTGCATTTGAGTGAGAAATCCACTTCTGAGCCCATCCTGCTTGTGATTGATTTTTTTTTTTTTCCCTTCGGCGTATGGCACAATTCCAGCTTCCCACACCAACTTGTTGTCTGCTCTCCAGCTCAAGTCAGTTATCCGCCGCACCAAAGAGACGTCCAACGTGCACCCAATGTACAGGGAGGGAATGTTGAGACGTAAAATGGGACCAATCATTATAAATAAAAGCAACTCGCAAGATCGACTTATTGAAGAGCTGCAGGGAAAACTGGGGATCGGGCGGTTGGAGCGCAGGCGTAAACAACAGCCCGATGACTGGTTGACGGAGGGAGTCATTGTTACATCCAACCCACAGCGGACACGAGAGGAAGGGATTCAGCCATCTGTGGATAAGGTAGCAGGATGAAGGTGGAGACGAAAAGCCTCACTGATGGTGTAGTTTATGCCTTTTTGGCTTTTGATCACAGGATTAACTGGCAGATATGAGATATTTATCATTTTTCAAACTTAACCATAAAATTTTACTTGTTATTGGCAAACAGTTTAAACAGTTTCACTTTTCGGGCCAATATAGTTTTCCTTTTTTGTGTCTGATGTTTCCTCTCCTTTCCTCGCTGCTTTGTTTCCTTCTTCCTCCCAGATCATCATCCCTCCTGAATCACCCGCCCCACAGAGAAAAGTCCTTCCCCCTCCACTGTCTCCCCCAGTTCTCAAAAAGCCACCCCCCATCAAGCAGACTCCTCCGCCACTACCTCCTCCCCCTCCAACCCCACCTCCTCCTCGAGAACCTACCCCTCCACCTCCCAAGGAACCTAGTCCTCCTCCTCTTCCTCCTCCTCCTCCCCCACCTCCTCCTCCTCCCAGGGAGCCCACACCTCCCCCTGTCCAACCTCCTCCATCACCTAGCCCTCCACCCAAGCCGGTCACGCCACCCCCGCCTGCCAAGCTCTTTGTATCAGTGGGTTGTCAGACAGAGTACGACCCCATCTTTCCACCGATTCAGGCACGGATCACCTTTCTTCCATCTTCCTCCTCTAACTTCATTCTTTCCACTTTCTGTCACACTTTGAATTGTTTTACTTGAGCTTGTTTGTTGGCTACTTGGATATGTATGGGCGTTAAGGAATTTGTCCAGACACTCGTTCTGTTTTTGGCCCTTGGTGTCAAACAGGTAACCTCATGAAGGCTTTGTCTGCAGTCCAGTCACAGGGGTGCTGACATTCAGGCTAGAAGGACTGAGCCCACATTCTAATTCTGACATCCAGTGGCGCCAAGAACAGTGTGTTAGAGTGGAGAGGAGAATTTAAGAGCTTAGAGGAAAGCAGAGTGTAACTCCCTGATATTCCCGTTACACTAAGAGTCCTGCCATGCATAGGAATGGAAGGATTGCAGTGCCACTGAAACCTAATCTGCCGCATGACAGCACAGTTACCGTCACAATTATAGCATGTCTCACAAGACTTAAGTCAACATGTCCCATTATGTCAGACACCAACCAGTTGAAGCTGAATTTCTTATACAATCATGCTTTTAGGAAAAAAAACTTTGTTAGAACCTGCTTTAGCAGAATAGCACAACCATGGTGAAATACCCAGGAAAAGGCTGTGTTTAATTTTATCAAATGTATGGAGGCCGTGGGTGTGGGTGGTGGGGGCATGCAGCATAGGTGCTATTTTCTCCTTCAGTGGAATGTAGGAGTCATGAAGCTCCAATGACAACACCACCTGAGAAGGTCTGTGTTTGCTTGCATTACAGTCACCAGACACATTTACACATACATGTTAATATTTGAGGCCTGTTAACATAGATTAGGGCTGATCTAGGTGGAACTGTTGGAGCTCAGACTTCATAGGCCATCAACTACAAAGACAGTAGAGACGTTGAGGTGACATATAGCACACAGGTAGCCATTGTAGCGTCCACTGTCTGCATCCACTTGTGGTCAAAGCAACTACACCTCTAATAATCCTTTAAAAAACTATAAACTTATAGTTCCTGCATTTTAGCGTTGAGTTTTCATTCCTGGAGGTTTCTTTGTAGTTTACATGTAAGTCTCACACCTCAAGGGTTCCTGGTTCAAAGCCAGGAGGAGACACAAATCCCTTTGGGGCGACATCAGGAAGGGCATCCAGTGGGAAAATTTGCCAAATCAAATATGCTGAGCCATCTGCTGTGGTGAGCCCTTGTGAATAAGAGGGCAGCCAAAGGAAGCTTTTTTTTAAATTAATAAACTCTCAGAAAATGTTATGTTTATACTATATCGACTTCCGGAAAGCACCACTGCAACTTTAAAATTGTTCCTCTGAGTGCAATTTAAATCCCAGTTACAAAGACAGCTACATGAAGTCAAGTAAGTGTGCAAGAAAGAATGAAAACACAAAATGTAGCAGTGGTGCGATTCACTCACACTAACTGATATTATACTGAGGTTGTTTATTGAAGCATCTGAATGGTGTAATTAAACACTTTGCTTTTCCATCTCTGTCAGATCCATTCACCGGGAATGACTTCTCCCTCTCCTGCCCCCAAACCAGCCAACAAGCTGGACAACATGCTGGGAAGCTTGCAGTCTGACCTCAACAAACTTGGCGTCCAGACAGTGGCTAAAGGGGTCTGCGGTGCTTGTAAGAAACCGATTGCTGGGCAGGTAACAGCACAGAAACATGTAAACATATATGTATGTTGAATGTGGCTCACATACTAAACTTTTAACTCGCCTATTTTTAGACACGTGTGCTCGCAGGCTGTTATTTTTATGCACGAATACCCAGTGGGATTTTGCACACATTAATGCAGTTTTCTGTTAATGGTATGGTGAAGAGAAGATTACACTTTAGATTTATTTGCACAATGAGTGCAGTAATGGCTCATGTTTCACTTGCTTCTGGCTGTTGCTTAACCTCAAAGCTGCTTAGTCTATCAATAGCTCACCTTTCATTTAGTTTACAGCCAATAAGTGGGGTAATAAATACAATGTGTGTTTCATTTTACCAAAGTTTAGCTTTAAGCTCAATATAAGTACATGATATCCAGATTTCAGCAGCAGCTCCTCCTCCAGAAAAATGATATTTTGCGATACTTTGAATTTACAGAGGCTTAATGTTTTCACAGGATTATAAAGATGTTTTTACTTATGTGGAACAAGATGATTGTAAATATGGTTATTATTCCTTTTAAACTTTGAGTTGCAAACATCTGCTGCTGTTTGCAGGATTCCCTTTGCTGCTCTCATGCTCTGCTGCAGAGATTTTCTCTGCTGAGCCAGGTCTTTTCTCCTTGCAGCTCATTAATTTTTCATGCACCGTGTCTCCCCACACCAGGTGGTGACTGCCATGGGCAGAACGTGGCACCCCGAGCACTTCGTGTGCACCCACTGTCAGGACGAGATTGGCTCTAGGAACTTCTTTGAGCGCGATGGGCACCCTTACTGCGAGAAAGATTACCACAACCTGTTCTCACCGCGATGCCACTACTGCAATGGACCCATACTGGATGTCAGTAATGCAAACTTCAACACAAACACATACACACGTATACGCATACATGGTTGTATACAGAGACTGGGCAGATAATATTTATTTATTCATAACTTAATGGATGAGGGTCTTACTGGAAACAATGTGCTGGAAAGTGCTTTTCTTTCTCAATCACTTACGCTGATAGTCAGGCATATAAATATAGCATGCATGCACAAGGCCCTAGAAGAAGTTGGAGCAAAGTGACTTCTAGTTTCCTTGTGCATGTAGGAAGTAATGCATTATTCTGTAACATATGAACACATTACAAGTTAAGGTTACAGATGCTATTCATCCTCCTTCATATCCATTCATAAAGCTGCTGTTGACTGAGTTCGATATAGGCTTGGTTAGTGGTTTAGTGTTTTGTGTTCACTGGTTGGGATCTAACTGGTTGGGATCTAACTGAGTGCACAGTAGGTAGTGGCTTTTGCCAAAACAGTAGAAAGAGAATTTAAAGTGAAATTAGATTTTTGTTGTGCTGTTGGCTGGCTGTAGTGCACTGAGGCGATAGGAAATGCAGGTCTGTAAAGCTTTGTTGGGCTGCCTCCTTGTTAAACTGCAATGTGTTGTGTTATGTATGTATGTATGTATGTATGT